ACTTGTCAGATGTCCTCTGGTGGCACACAACTCTGAGGTGTAGGAGTTGAGTTGCAGGCCCTCATGGGCGTTGGCAGCATCCCACAGCACTGGCAGTGAGGTTTACGGGCTTGCCAGGAACTTTTGGGCCACTGTCAGTGAGATGAGCTTTGGGGAGGCAATGGGTTCCATCATCAATGGGTAATAGTTACTGAAGCTTCCAGACTGGAGTAGGAAAGCCCTTAGGAACCCTCAAAAGGGGCATGCAAAAGCCTGCACAGTGTGCTGTAGGGCAGGCATTGTTCAAAGCACCTTACTACATTATCTCATGACCACCTTGTGAGTTAAAGATGATTACAGAAGTGGAAACTGAGGCATAGAGGTTAAGTTCAACTCTCATTCAGTGACATGATGCTATATTTAGTCTCTTTATCGATTTCTACTAATTGGGTCCCCAGAGTTAGATCACTTGAAGCCTGTGGGACTTAAAGCCACTGAAGAACTTGAAGGCATTGCCACATCCAGAGTGGGGAAGATCTAGAAAGCTGTGATTTTGAAGGATAGGGAAATAACTGAGATACTCTGCTCGGATAAGAGGCAGGAGGGACGCAGTCAGCCCTGTGTCTTGTAGAAAAGATGGTGGGTTCAGCATCAGTACCAGAGTGGAGGCTTTAGAGAGGCTGGCTGGCTTCATCGTTTCGAAATGAAGACCATCCAAGGAATATGGCTGATTGAAACCAAGTGGGAGGTGAGTGTTTGGGTGATACTGAACTTCCTATCCCTGAGGATGTCCAAAGCCAAGCAGGGGTGGTCTGGAAATGGGAGTATGCTGCTGGGGAAATACTTGTACCAAGTGGGGTGGCTCAGGGTGATGTGGAGGTCAGTTTTAGCCAAGATAGGCTGTGGTCTGACCTTCAGGGTAGGTAGACCAGTGGTACAGGCTCACCCCAGACTTTATAGCTGAAGTTCTCTCCTTGACCTCTGACCTTATGGATAGCATTGCATGTTCTCAGGCTCCTGCACTGGCATCTTGAGTAGCCCTCTTCTTCTGGCACAAGATGAGTTCAGTTACTTCGACACAGCTCTTTGGAATAGCAAGTTCTTCAGAGCTTAGTCTCCCACTGTCTTCTCAGATGCTCCTCATGAAGCATCTCTAGCCAGCTCTCACAGTTGCCACTCAGGACCACAGTTCCTTTCCCAGCTCCCACTTAGAAACTGGATCCTAAATCTGCTCAAGCTAGAAAGTTATGCAGCATAGCTCCTTGATTCAGATGATATCGTAGGAGTAAGACATAGTAGGTGGATCCATAATACTTAGGGTCTGGCCTGCATCCCAGAAATATGGCCACTGACCCAGAAGTGTGGGTCCCTTGGAAAAAAGGATGCGGCAAGGTGAAAAAGGTGACCAGTAGGCCATAGGTGTCTGCAGTGAGTGAAAGTCCTGGAAAGCAGCAGTTGCTGGGGTCAGCATGCCATGTCCTTTGCTTCCTGGATTTCTGCTCCCTTCCCAGGTGCAGGGACATTGAGACCCTGTGAATCCCTCCTTGACAGTCAAGCAGAAGTTTCAGGCATTCCCACATCTGGAGCAGGTTCCTTTAAGAAAGAACCATGCTCTTGATTTCTGTAGGTATATGGAAAATAGAACTGCTGTGCCCTGTTAGGCAGTCCTGCCTGGCCTATGTGTTTGAAGACTTCCTTGGAGCCTTTAGAAGCCCTTGGGATCTCCTTTAAGCCCTTGCATCTGCCTGGATGTAAAAGCTTTCCAGAGCTTTATATTCTGTACAGGGCAACAAACAAGCAAACTTTGTTCTTGTCTCTTCTTGGTCAGCGGGGGGTGCATTGGTGAGCTTCCTCATTTAGGAAACTCCATCTGGCAGCAGAGAAGATGGGGACAGATTAGCCTGATTGTCTGGATGCTGAGATGAGTCATATTTCCAAGACACAGAGGCCACACACTGGGAATTCAGGATGATATGACAAGTCATCCTTCCTTGTCAACCAGGACATTCTTAGCAAGATGATAAGATACTTCAAATGCTCTGGGTACCTGTTGACTGAGAGTCGGGTGGCTATGCCAGAGACCTTGTCCTAGTCCCTTGCCCGACTCTGGCTTTCTTGGGCTGGTTTTCTGTGGGTTATAGGAGCTGCACTGGCAGTGAAAGTTCAAAGGTCTGCTTGTGTACACGTTTATGTGCGTGCACAGTGTGTGGGTGCATGCGGAGTCCAGAAGTTGACGTCTCATGTTTTCCTTGATTGCTCTCTACCTTAGTTTTGAGACAGGGTCTCTCACTGAATCTCTCTGGCCAGCATTTGTCAGAGATCCTCTTGTCCCTTACATATTGCTAAATCCATTTTTTTTTTTTTTTAAAATATGGGTGCTGAGCCTTCATGCTTATGTGGTCAGCCCTTTATTGACGACAGCCATCTTGCCAGCCCCAAAGTTCTGTTTCTGTGAGCACCTGAGATACTCAGCTCATTTTATTCTAACTGGATGCTACTGTGAAGCCACATGGAATCCCTCTTCCTTTCCAATGTCCCTTCACCCAAGGTTCACGTAGAACCAGAGATGACTCAAGCTGATGGGGCTCTGAAGCCCCTCCCCTCATGCTGTCAGTCACCTGGGGGAACTTCTTAAAATGTTTCCTTCACAAAGTCTCTGGTGGGACCAAAGCAGGGGTATTATCTCAGTTTTTCAGGGACTGTGGATGCACCAGTTAAAGGAGAGCAAAGATCTGGCTCAGTGTGGTCATTTCCTGGGTGTGATAGCTGAGGCCCAGAGTGTAAGTCCCTTTGTCCAGGGTCATAAGCAGAACCCCACTTGCAGTCCATCTACATTAAAAAAAAAGTCTTTTTCATTTTATGCGTTACTTCCGGAGCAGGCTCAAAGCTCCCGCCAGACCCTACCTTAATCTCACCCACTGTCAAGAAGGAAAGACCTCTTGTTCCATCAGGGTCCCTTACTTCACAGCCTGAATTTTCCCCCTTTGAAGAGGTTTCTAAAGTTTTGTTTTCAATTCTGACTTATGGATATCTACCCTTCTTTGCAGGAAGCGTTAAAAACTATCTCTGTTAAAAAAAAATGAATAGGGTACTCTTTATAATCCAACCATGTTTTGCTCCACTCTGGAACTCTGTTAAATCCACTTGGGGAGTCGCCTGCCTGGGGTGTTCTGGAAAATGCTCCCTGGTCCTCCTCTGCTATGTCCCGATAGAGGTCAAGCTCCAGTGTGTTGGCTACCCCCTAGTCTCTCTGCTTCCCAGAGAATCCCAAAGTCACTCAGGATGGCACTTGGAGTGTCAGGGAGATTCCCTGTGGACAAGGACACCAGGGACTGGCTTGGGGCCAGTAGGAACTGGTTTGAGAGTCTAAGGCTGTCTCCACTCTGTCCCCTCCTGCTGGCGGGAGGGCAAAATGCCATTCTGGGGACAAGGCCATCATGGCGACAGGGTGTAAAAGTCTCTTTGAGGCCAAAGGAAGGCAGAATGTAATGGGAAGTCGGGGAAACTGCCTTTTATAGGCATGTTCTTTTCGTTCCCCCCCTTTTCATCCAAGTTTACTCCCTGCAAAGAGTGCCAAGCAAAAGACATCGGTTCCTTCGGTCGGTGGCACCAGGGGCAGGCTGGTGGCACCGCAATACCCCTTCCCCCATCTTGCCTGCAAGTTGCATGACCTGCATCGGAATCCACAGGGGGGCGGGGGAGAATCCTTTCAGATCCTGGATGCAGTTGAATTCAACGTATTTTGCTTCCTCGCCTGCCCTCACCCAAGCTTGGGGAGGAGAGCGCCGCTTTCTTCTGCGTGTGAATGCTGTAGTGTGTCTGCCTGCTCGGACTCCCCTAACCCTTTCTTCTCCTTCCCCACAGCAAAATCTCAGGCTTTCTCAGGAAATAGCTCCCATTTGGCATATTTACATTTTATTTTTATTAAAAAAAATCCTATAAGGCTAAAAGCGGGGAATATACTTCTCTCCCGACCGGGTCTAAACTTGCCTCGAAGGCTGCACCTGTTTTGCGCCCCTACCAGGAAGGGGTGTTTGTGGGGAGGGAAAGAGGGAGGTTCTGCGCCCCCAAATCCGGAGAAAGCAGCCCTCCCGCCCCCTCACCCGGCTGCCAGCTCAGCGCACCCGAGGGCTGAGCCCAAGAAGCCGGCCTCTGACGGTGCTGGCGCGGCGCTTGCCAAAAAATGCCCTTTGCATCTCAATTTCCCGGCCGTTTCTTTCGCTTGTACGGCTCGCCCAGGGCCACCTCGGTTCTCCAGCGCAGTCCTGCAGGCACTCCTTCCCCTCTTCTCTCCTTCTCCGCTCCCTGCTTGCCCAAGGCGGAACCCAAAACGCACCGCCAAGAAGGAGCAGCGGGCATGGGGGCACTCAGCGTGCCGTGTCCCGCAGTCCCCTCCCAAACCGAGCCCAGCTCCCGGGACTCTCGATTACCCAAATGAGTGTCATTCAGATCTAGGCACGTCTGTGGCCGGCGTCCCTGGCTGCCTCCCTCGGGTTCCTGTGCGCTCCTGTCCCCCGTCACTGTTCGCAAGCCTGGGCCCCTCACCCAAGCTGGGGAGCACCCGGGGTCACCTCGGCCGCGCTCATTTCGCTTCCTCCCGCGGAGGAGATTGCAGCAAAACCGGGCAGCACGAGGGCCAAAAAGTGGAAGGGAGAACGCCTTTCGTGTCGCGCATCCAGCTTGCCAACTCTCCCTCCCCAGCGCCGACCCTCGGAATCCCAACTGCAACTTTTTCCCTTCCGTCTTGGTTTCCCCTCGGCTGCGGCGAGCGGTCGCGGGGCCGCTAGGCGTGGAGCGGGCGGGCAGCGGCGCGGCTGCGGGTGGCGGTACCGGCGAGAGCCGAAAGCCGGCGAGTGGGTGGGTGGGTGGGGAAGCAGGAGGGAGAGGACGGGCGGGGAGAGAGAGGGGTGTGGGGAGGGGAGGGAGGGGGAGATTCCGCTCTCCTGCCTCTCCCAGCCCGGGCGGGGGGCGGGGGAGGAGGCCGCGAGGAGGGAGGGGAGGAGGGAGGGGAGGAGGGAGGGAGGGAGCCGAGGAAGACGCTCCGATAACCCGTGCGTTTCGTAAGGCTCGGAGCACTTGTACATTTCTGCAGGCGCGTAGCGAGCCATTCGCGGAGGCTGCTGCAGCTCTGACTGCATCTTCCTCCTTCTCCCTGCCTCCAGCTCCGCGCGTGTGTATGTGAGTGTGTGCGAGTGTGCTTTTGCAGGTGTGTCCGTTTTAATTCTGCCCAGGAGGTGGGACTTGGTGACTTTAGCACCATTTTTTTCCCCTTTTATTATTATTATTTTTGCCTTCCCACCGTCCGTTGTTGCAACCCTGCAAAGTCTCGGAGTCGGAGAGCGCGCCTCATTTCCAGAGCTCCTGGACCCCGCAAGACGGCGAGCGCCGAGCCGGCCACCATGCCCGGCAGACCGCGCCACTAGGCGCTCCCCGCGGCTCCCACCCGGCGGCGGCGGCGGCGGCCGCGATGGTTTCCGACGCTGAAGGATTTTGCATCTGATCGCTCGGCGTTTCAAAGGCAGAGGCCCCCCTCCCCCTTCCCCCCTCCCTCGTCGTCTTTGTTTCCTTCCCCCCCCTGCTCTCCCCACTCCCCCCACCCCACCCCCCTCTCCTCTCCTCCTCCTCCTCTTTTTTAGAAGCAGCGATCGGAGATGGATGTCTCTCTTTGCCCAGCCAAGTGTAGTTTCTGGCGGATTTTCTTGCTGGGAAGCGTCTGGCTGGACTATGTGGGCTCGGTGCTGGCTTGCCCTGCAAATTGTGTCTGCAGCAAGACTGAGATCAATTGCCGGCGGCCCGACGATGGGAACCTCTTCCCCCTCCTGGAAGGGCAGGATTCAGGGAACAGCAATGGGAACGCCAGCATCAACATCACGGACATCTCAAGGAATATCACTTCCATGTAAGTCAGGCGGCCGCTGCCCAGCCCGCCCCCCCTTCCACTCCACGCCCCAGCTCCGCGTCTCCCTCTTGCCCGCCCGCGGCCGGGGAACCGGCCCTGCGCTCCCCAGCTCGCCTCTGCTCGCAGCCTGCCGGGCGCGCGTCAGGCTCGCCCTGGCTCGGGAGATGCTGTAGGGCTGCGTGTTCCAGGTGACTCCTGCCCTAGCCAGGCGTGATCGGAAGATGCTGGTGGGTACCTCTCCCTGGAGAGGACCCTTCCGGGCGGAGGGCACCCAGGGCCCAGCTCCTGTCCCCGCCTCCACCCTCTTGCCGGCTGGGCTCGTTGTTTCGAGGGTGCGAATTGGGTTCTTTGCCCCCCACTAAATAGCAACAGTTTGGCCACGCTCAAGTGGAATAAAGTAGAGGCGGCTCGGTTTCCTGACAGGAGGTGGCAGATAGCGGCGGCAGAGGCAATGCTTAGCTGAGGAGAGAAGGTGACAGATAGGGACTGCTTGAGAACCAGTCGAGATTTTTTTTTTAACTCTTTCTTTTTGGAGACAGCAAAACATGCCAATAAGTAAACAAGTTGGGAGCTGGCTGCTCCCGAGGAGACTTCGGACGTGTTCAGGCCGTCATGGACGTCTACCTCTTTGCTTTTCCTTCCCCCCGCCGCCCTCTCCAACCCCATTTTGGGCATTTCCGAGACATCCCCCCCTTTCCCACCCTCATCTGCATCTGGGCGCCTACAGACCCTTTCCTGGCTTGGGCTTCCGTAACTGCCCAAGGATAATTCTGAGACAGGCTGCTGGAGGGAGAAGAGAGGAGGACCCGTGTTTTGGGAAGGGGATTTCTTCCACAATTCTGCGGTTCTGTTTGTTTCACAAATTGAACTCTGCCTGGTGTTTGCCTGGTTTGCCCCGTGTGAGTGGGACCTGCGGTGGCGGTGGTGGCCTGCTCTTTTCTTGTTGTGTTTCTTTGGTAGGGATAGGGGCCAGAGGCCTGGGAGGGAGAGAACAGAAGAGCTCAGGCACCAGGAGCCTGCACAGCCTTTCTTGCATCCCTCAGCCAGGGGTGACCACCACCCCTCCTACCCTGCTGCCCTCACCCCTACCCCCTCCCCCAAGGGTGTGGATGGTCCTGGGATGTTCAGAGGACACCTCATTGCTTTTTGCCCCAGGGCTCCTAAAGGATGGGTAGGATGGTGGCCAGGCTCTGAGGGAGGCATTTAGGGTAGCTCTTTGCCTTGGGGACAGAGGAGAGTAAGAAGGGACTCCGTGTGCTATGGACACTGCCCTCTCGGTGTCCATCCTCTCTTTGCTCCAGCCATTGCCTCAGTGCTACAAAGCCTGAAGGATTTGACGTCTTGCTCCCTCCAGAGCCCACCAGCCTTCTTGGTTTAAGGGAGACAGCTTGGGTTCTTCCAGCTTACACTTTGAGGGAGATGGACAGCCCCAGGAGATGTCCCTGACTCCCGGTCCAGGAGAGGAGCCTGACCCATATCTTAGCTCTGCTTTTCACTCCTTACCACCTCCAGCCTGGCCAAGGATGACCAGATAGACAAACAAGGGGCAAGGGGAAGGGAGAGGAGGACCAGGGATGTCCAACATCTCAGAGGATGCCTGGGGCAAGGTCTGGAGGGGGATTGTCAGGGAAGCTGGGACCTGGAAGTGCACCCTCTGGGGGCCCCCGGGTGGAGGGATGGATAGAGGCTTGTGCTCAGAAACTGGGCATCGGGATTTTAAGGTAATTGGATGTGCCAAGGATTGGAGAGTTTGGGAGCCGGTGAGCTGTGTCTGGTTTGTTCTCTGCTCCGAGGATGTGTATATCTCTGGGAACCCTCAGGGAGGCAGGGTTGATCACAATCACGTAGGCTCTTTATGGTCACACAGAGGTGTCACACCTCTAAAAATGAGGCTTGGAGAAGCAGTTCCATAGGGAAGGGTGGGATTGGATTTTCCTGGAGACATTGGTGGCAGGAGGGGACACAGGTGGCCTCTTGCTCCCTTCCGGCATTAGAGGATCCCAGGAAAGTGTCTGTGGCAACAGACACAGGGAGTGGTGGATCAGGAGCCCCTCTGTGTGTGTTGGACTCTAGCAGGCCATCAGGACTCTCCTAAATCCACCTGACACCACAGAGTGAGTGGTAAGGGAGGTCAGAGGTCAGGGGTTGGATGACCCCTTCTCACCCCATCTTTCCCCTAGTGTCCTATTATGTGTGTGTCTGGTATTGACTAAACTCAAGGACCTAGACTCCCAGTCCAGAGGCAGAGAGCCTCGAGGTGGGAGAGGAATCATGCTCATCCAGGAACAAACATGCCCTTGTTCCCATCTTACCCCTTAAGAAATGGAAGATTAAGGGAAAAGGTAGCCTTTCCCAGGCCTATGATCTGATTCTAGCACTGAATACTGGTGTGCCCAACATATATCCCAGGACCCCAATCCAAGGCCTACTGGAAGGGGGGTGCTTGAAGACAGAGAGGAGCACAGGGCAGGGGAGGACCCAACCTTAGTGTGGCCTGGGAAGGTGTCCTTCAGACACATGTTTCTAGAGATACAGGGTCAGGAAGGGCACCGCCTGTTATCCTGGAGCTCTGGGTGATGGCATGAAGCTGGACAGATTCTGAGCCTGGACAGACAACTTCTCTGGCTGTTCTAAGGCATCCTTCCTCAGATAGTGAACTCTTTGTGCTGAGTTTTTAGACAGGCAGGGTTTGTTTCCTTGTAGTCCTAATTCTCTCGCGGTGCCCATCAGAGTGGTGGCTGTACCCATCCAGAGCTTTGGGTGGAAGAGACCCTACCCCCTTGACCATCCTGTTAATACGGGGAGGAAATCAGCTGCAAGGCGCCAGGGAAGAAGTGTGGCTCTTGCCTCCACCCGGTCATAGTCCAGCTGCTCCAAAGAACGCCCCCCGCCCCCAGACTCCTTCCTCCCTTCTGTTCCCTTTCTGTTCAGAAGGGCAGTCTTTTTGCTGCTGTAGCTCTTGATACACCATAGCAGGGTCCATGGGCAGCCACACCCAACCAGGCTCTGACCACACAAAGGCGGGAGCTGGGGTGGTGGCCAAGATGGTGGGTTGCCGAGGCTGCCTCCTTAGGCCAGGCCTACAGGATCGCCTTGGTTTTGGAGAGCGCAGCCTTTAAATGGTGGAAAGAAGATGGAGGTAGAGAGAGTGGCATTGTTGGGTCAGATGTTCTTGGGATTGGATGCCTGGGCTTGCAAAGACCATGGACTCTTGGCTGAGGCACTGAACCGCCATTTGTATGTCCGCCTAAACTGCCACAGGGTTCCAGGTGTTTGGAAGGTTTTTAGGTCCTGTGTTTCCCTTTCTCTTGGAGACTCTCTGCTGACTGAAGGGTCATCTGGGGGTTCTTCTCTTTAAGCTCCTTGGCCTTAAGGACTGAGGTTGGTGACCCAGCCTTGACAAAGGACAGTGAGAACTGGAATCCTAGCTAAAGTATGAACCAGGCCCTAAAGGCTCCAAGGCCCCAGTAGTTGGGCAAAATGTTCAGAGCCCAAGGACTGGGGTTAAGCCTGAGAGAGATTAGGCAGAGTTGAAGCGGGCCTTGGAGGTGCGATTTGCAAGGGAAGAGTTATGGGGTGATTTCCAGGACGGAAGCTGGAGCCTGGGCTTTGTTGGGGGTAGGATTTCATACTGAGGTCAGGCTGTTGGTGGGTGTCAGCATTTCCCATGACCTAGAATCCTCAGCTCCAGTATGCCCAGCAGGCTAAGCTTTCATAGTAGCCCCTGGGGCCAAGGACATCAGTTCTGAGGCTACCTGGAAGCTGAGGACATGATAGTTTGGGCAGATCCAGTGGAACCCTGACTGTGGCTTTAAGAGTGCTTGTGTGGTGGGCCCAGGAGGGCTGAGCTGAAGTCTTGGAGACTCCTTAGGGTCCTGCAGGGTTCCAGCTGCTCTCTTTGCCTTGAAACCCTGGTCCTGGCCCTGCCAGACTCTGCCAGCTGATCCTTCATGTCTGGAAAGGATGATGGTCCCACTCCAGATGAGTCTTGGGTATGTGGTATGTGAGTATCTATGACCCTTCCTGTGTATGGCCCTTACCATTAGGGTCATGACATTTCCACTGTGACCTGAGGTTCCCATCTCAGCCATCCATTGAGTGGCTCTTGCAGGAATCATGTGCCTTTGGGGAACAGTGACAGGCTAGGAGTAAGAAAAGAGCAGGATGCAGTGAGTTATAACCTGGCGTTTCCCCATCTGCCTTGAGATGTCCTGGAGGGCTGCAACCACTCAGAGCCTGTAAATCTTACTATGAATCCAGGCCATGGGTCAGAGTGTCCCTTCCAACTCGGACATCTGCCATCTCAGCGCCAGGAAACATCCCCCAGGAGGCTTAACCAGGCCTCTTTGAAGGATCCCTCATGTGGGACTCTGTGGTACCACCAAGGGGAGGGCATAGGCCAGTTCACACTGGCTGTGAGCCACTGTTATTTCCCCATCTTCCTTTCCACTGCTAGAAAAGTCAGGTTACCCAGAATATGCCAGAATTTGTGACACAGGACGCACTTTGTCATCACCTCCCTAGACCAAATGCCACACTCCAGACTGCTTTAGGGTCCCTGGCCTTTCCTCAGAGGTTGGACAACTGACTCTATGACTCCCATTCCCACCCCTGGGCTCCGGCCTAGGAGAGACGTCCTTGCAAAGATGTCATCCTTTCGTTGAAGAGAGGCCGCCACTGTGTGTGGGAAAATATTAGAACGTCTATCTCAAATTATTCTTGCCTACAACAGGAGATATTTAATATTTAATGCATGGATTGGAGATATCTAAGCATATAATAATTTAATAAATATGAGTGTTTGGGGGTTGCAAGATAAATTTTTTATTGCTAAGTCATGCATAATCAGAGCAACATGGCTCCCTTGTTGTGAGTGGAGGGCTCAGAGTTGGAGAGGGACTTGGACAAGGAGAGGTGATTTGGTTCTTCCACTCAGTGCTTTGATGAAGGGGTTTGTTAACTGGTATGGATAGGTGGGATGTAAGCTAGGACCTGGCTCA